GGACGGCCAGCTCTAGTAAGGGTTCTGGTCATCCCAAACGTCTTCCATTTAAGGAGGAGGCCACTGTGCTCTTAGGAACCTTAAGTGCAGCAGAAATTTTTTTTTGTAACCTTGGCCAGATCTGTGCCTTGCCACAATTCTGTCTGTGAGCTCTTCAGGCAGTTCCTTTGACCTCATGATTCTCATTTGCTCTGACATGCAGTGTGAGCTGTAGGGTCTTATATAGACAGGTGTGTGGCTTTCCTAATCACGTTCAATCAGTATAATCAAACACAGCTGGACTCAAATGAAGGTGTAGAACCATCTCAGGGATGATCAGCAGAAATGGACAGCACCTAAGTTAAATATATGAGTGTCACAGCAAAGGGTCTGAATACTTATGACCATGTGATATTTCAGTTTTTCTTTTTTAATAAATCTGCAAAAATGTCAAAAATTCTGTGTTTTTCTGTCAATATGGGGTGCTGTGTGTACATTAATGAGGAGAAAAATGAACTTAAATGATTTTAGCATATGGCTGCAATATAACAAAGAGTGAAAAATTTAAGGGGGTCTGAATACTTTCCGTACCCACTGTAAATGAAGATGTAGTGTATTTGGTCAAATAACATCTGTTGGCATTTGAGCTTTGAAATACAGAAAGTAAAAAACCGGTCAAACTTTGTTGGCTGTAATGGTTTTAGCATACCAACACTGGGGTTCGCCCAGTGGTTCTATTTGAATCTTTGAATGGATGACTTTGTTTATATCTGCTATTAAAATGTGATTTGTATCTGGATAGGGTTTCCTGAGAATCAACACTCTGACTCCGTTCTCTTGTCATCCTTCTTCATAAGTTGTTCATATGCAAAGTAGACAAGTAGGTGGAATCTGGAACAGACAGTTACGTAGAAAGTGACAATACAAGAGTGAGGACTTCTCATGTGTAGGCTGAGTCATAGTTGTAGTGATGACATGATGTTCCTACCCACCCAGAGACATGACGTTTCTATTCACTATGTGAGAAAACATTTCTACCCATAGTTCTGATGCTTTTAACCCCAGTGATGATGTGTAAGCTAAAGCTGTTCTCGCTCATGGTGGTTTCTTCCTACTGTAGTAATAAAATTAAAATAGCATTTTTTTCATTTTCATAAAAAGATAACGGTTCCCAGAGATTGAAATATTTTATAAAGGTCCATCCTGTGAGGGACCTGACAGTTTTTTTTTTATCTGAAATGTTAGGGTTACTATATGTGATATGATGTTTCTGTCCCCCACAGTGACAATGAATTAGCCCTCAGATCCAGTATTGTGACTGGTTTGGTACTGGACTGGGAATCTGACTGGGAATCTTTTGGGTCAGGAGCTGGATGGAACATTTATAACAGACCTCAGAAGTAGACAAGATTCAGAGGAAGTTGACATTCTTTGACTCTTGTTTTTAGTTTACATGGGTCTCTTTTAACAAGTTAGAGCCAGATTTGTACAGCTTTAGTGCAGCATACTCAACATTGTCTTTTCAACATTTTATGTACGTTTGAAGTCGTATTTAGGGTTAGGGGTAGTCATATTTACGCCCACAAGGTACTGCGTCACAGGGTTTTTGGAGGGTTAAGGTTTCCTGAAATGTGGCTTCTAATCACTTTGTAGTAAACAACGACTTTAGAGTGTTACAAATCCTTTTGTGAATAATTGGGTCAACAAAAGGATGTGACCTTGACTTAGGGAATTCACCTTATGTTTCTTACCAACAGTACACAGGAATTTAGTACATGTTTAAATACATCAATCCAATAAATTTGAATCTTAGTTGATTGTTACGGTCACTGACAGAATCGGTATCTTTCACCTCTCAAGCTCCTTTAATTACTAACAGAAACCACAGCTGTCAGGTCAACTGTGAGACTGTTATCTTTTTATCAAACTGAGCAGCTGTGGCTCAGGAGGTAGAGTGGGTTGTTTCCTAACCGGAAGATAAGCGGTTTGATTCCCGGCTTGTCCAGTCCACGTCGAGTGTCCTTGAGCAAAGACACCCAACCCCCAGTTGCTCCCGGTGATGACATCGGTGTGTGAATGTGTGAGTGCCTGGGAGTATGAATGGGTGAATGCATCCAGTCGAGAACTGTGACACCAAATCTTAAAGCAGTACTGAAGTTACTGTCTCAGACTGAATCAGTAAGTTTCTATACAACAGAGCTCCTCTCACTAATTGGCAGCTCAGCCATGGTATTACTTTCCAGCAACTCACTAAAATGCTGAATTTATGACATTATTAACTGTGATATGGTTTTTTACAGATACCGGTGTCCATTGAATGGTGATCTGGTTAAATACGAAACTAGCCAAAGAGATGGCCGCTCAGAAAATACTCACATGAATTTTTACTTCTTGTAATGGGTTTGGAAGGCACAAACAAAGTCTGGATACGGTTAGGTGTATGAATGACGTTTGTGAATGTTGTGGCAATATGGTTGCCTTATCAGATAAAGCTCATTAGGGTTGTTTAGGAAGGCAAAACAACTTCCAGTATTTTCTTGTCTAGTCTGAATGACTCACAAAAACAGATTGGGCAAGAGGGGAAGGAAAAGTCATTGCTGTGTTACTTTCTAATCGATATCTACTCTGGTCAGTTCAGTCAGCTCTGGAGGTGGTCTGACAGACTGAATGTTAGAGTATCACATTTTTTGCCTTTTTTTTTATAATAGATAAAACTTCCAGATACAAATCACAACAGGGTCCCAGAAAATACATTGATGATTAAGAGTAATGCCAGAAGACCGTGAAGTATGTCTCCCATGAAGTTGTGTACTTGTATATAGTGTTTCCATCAGCCTGTCTATGCATCTCTGTCTCTCTTCCTCTCTCTCGTTCATTCAGTGTCTCTGTGCCTGCCACATCGCTCCTGGTCCTGCCACTAACTGGGTCTCTCCCTTTTTCTGTTTCTTTCTTTAAATGCTACTTCTCACACACTTCTCCCTTCACTCCATCCTACCACGATGCACCGGTGTCTAAGTGTAGCACTGTCCACTGCATGGAATGTGCTGCTGTCTGCAGGTTGTATGGTGGTGATAGATAAGGCTGCATGCAACCAGTGGGGGATGAAAGTAGATTTAAAGGCTGTTTGACCATTCACAAGGGATGGGAGGGATTTCAACTGTCAAGCTGGTATCGGTGGAACTCATGATTACCTGTTTTCAATTATGACCGTTTCTCTGGCTTTAGTGACGTGACTAGAGTGAGGATGATTAAAATGAACTGCTTTTACTGCAATACACAGTCGAAGATGTTAAGTATTGCTTCAACTGTAGCTTGAGTACATTCCGACAATGCACCAATTATGCCGTACTAAAACAAAACAGTGAAGGATTCTTAGGGTACATGCCTTTAGTACAATGCTATATGTAGTTCAGCCGTTTTGATGCTGCCCTGCTCAAAATGACTCACAACAAAGGCCCTCAGGAGAACAGATTTAAATAGCAGCATGCACAGTCACACTCACACATTGCTGTCACACACAGGGCACCCTTCTAATGAAATAACTTGGGACCCTGCAGCAGTTTTTGATGATATTCTTTCTTCGCTTAAGTAATGCTATGGTGTTCTTTAATTTCAACAGTGATGTGTACAGTGTTATAATTACTGTTTCATTTCTGTGACTTTGGTCACAGAAATGAAACTGAAGATGTAATAAACCAGAATTATGTTTTAAATCCATACAATCTAAATTTTGCTAAACAGTGGCCAAACCAGCCATTGCGGCTACAGGGGGCACACAGCGGCACACTTTCCCCTTTACTATTTGTTTTTACTTTATGTAAGAAAACAATTAAAATGTTTATCTGTGAACTGTACGGAGGCAAATGGAGAAACAAATCAAAAAGTCAGCAAACTCAGTAACGATAGTTCCACAGCAATATCTATCCAAAATTTGCTAATGCTAGCTAACATCTGCCACCATAATCAACTTTTCATTTTGAATAGCACAAATGTGTCATTTCTTCTTTCAAAGATACATAGTCTTGCTTTAATTCAATTTTTGGGACAGTGGAAATGATCCAGTGATGTTTTCACCAAAACAGCAGTGACTGACCAGGTTGTCCATTCAGTGGTGACATACCTGTTTTGCTGATGTGCTAGTATAATACTATTCAGCCATCAAGGCCCTCAGAGTATTGTCAATCTCTTGTCATCACTTGCAGTGCATTGCAGTTTTGGAATCACTTAGTTGATAGGTGAACAATGTAAAATTTGGTGTGATTGATTATTTGTTGGAGAAACATATATTTGTATTTCAGGCAGGTGCAATTTCTGACTCTTCCTCAACATTTTTGACCAAATAATGAGTTTAAAAGACAAATTATTATATTAATTTATAATAACAATCATTAGTTGCAGGCCTGTGAGATCTGAGAGCATATGACATAGAAGTGACCCACCCCAGCCACGCCACTGGCCAGTTTAGAGCCTGACTGCACAGCTGACTCAAAGTTATATCCAACTACAACATAGTGTCGTATAAGCCTAACCAAAATGATGTTTCCCTTTTTCATTCCTCCTGCTACAGATGATGGTCAATAGGACTACTGAGGTATACGCATACTCCTTTAATTCTCCACAGATTCACTGCACAGTCCCATCCCTTTGTTTCTACTCTTTTCTTTCCTTCCACCTTTTATTTTGTTGACTTCCACGGCCCTGCATGGTGTAAACAAAGAATCATTTGGTTCATTTTACAGTCCCAAAGCCATGCATGGCTGATAAGAATGGCCAGGCTACTGCCATGTGTCTTGCACTCAGGCACTGGACACAAAAGATGGCTTTAGATTTTGTTTATTCATCCTTTGTATATATGCTTCTCATTCCTTTTTTCAGTTTATATTCATTATGTCACTGTCTCAGGAGTCTCTTATTTTTGTCATTCCTGACCCTCAATAGAACTATGTAAAGGAGCATGACTGACATGTACAGTTTATTGATTTATTTAAAATGACTGCATTTTTCTCCTGTAAAGTTTTGATTTGTTGATGTGCTGATGAATTTTAGAACAATGATAAATTTATATTATTATCAGTCTGTTTTGTAATTTTGCCTATTTATGTTGCTGCATGATTTTTAGAGATACTGTGAACTACTATGTTTAGTACAGTATTGATTAAATGATTATAAAATTCTTGTACTTGGGATCTTCTCCCATTCTTCCTTGCAAAAGGCTTCTAGTTCTGTAATATTCTTTGGTCGTCTTGCATGCACAGCTCTTTTAAGATCTACCCACAAATTTTCAATGATGTTTAAATCAGGGGACTGTGATGGCCATTCCAAAACCTTCAGCCTGCGTCTCTTGAGGTATTCCATAGTGGATTTCGAGGTATGTTTAGGATCATTGTCCTGTTGTAGAAGCCATCCTCTTTTCAGCTTCAGCTTTTTTACAGATGGTGTGATGTTTGCTTCCAGAATTTGCTGGTATTTAGTGGAATCCATTCTTCCCTCCACCCGTGCAATGTTTCCTGTGCCACTGGCTGCAACACAACCCCAGAGCATGATAGATCCACCCCCATGCTTAATAGTTGGCAAGGTGTTCTTTTCATGAAATGCTGCTCCTTTTTTTCTCCAAACATGCCTTTGCTGATTGTGTCCAAAGAGTTCTATTTTAACTTCATCAGTCCACAGCACTTGTTTCCAAAACGCATCGGGCTTCTGTAGATGTCCTGTTGCATACTTCAGACGTTGGATTTTATGATGGGGACGCAGATAAGGTTTTCTTCTGCTGACTCTTCCATGAAGGCCTTGTCTGTGCAAGCATCGCTGCACAGTGGAACGGTGCACCACCACTCCTGAGTCTGCTAAATCTTCCTGCAGGTTTTTTGCAGTCAAATGGGGGTTTTGATTTGTCTTTCTGACCAGCATACGAGCAGTTCTGTCCGAGAGTTTTCTTGGTCTTCCAGATCTCATCTTGACCTCCACAGTTCCCCTGATCTGCCATCTCTTAATTACATTTCTTACTGTGGAAACTGCAAGCTGACAACGCTTTGCTATCTTCTTGTAGCCTTCTCCTGCATTGTGGGCATCAATAACTTTCATTTTCAGGGTCTTACACAGCTGCTTAGAGGAACCCATGGTTGCTGGGTGTCCACAAGTGTGTGCACAAGGTTTGAAGAGTCAAAGTATTTGTACAGCTTTGAAATTGGCATTTACCAATGACAGCTGTTGCTGTGCATCAGATCTAACGAGCTGATTAAGGTCTGATACCTTGTGAGAGACTTTGAGACTCTGGAACTCTTAGGGTGCCCAAACTTTTGCACCATGCCATAATCATGTTTTTATTTTTTATTTTTGTTCAATTTATGGCATAAGAAGTAACTATGCATCACTGTTTGCAGAAAATATTGTGCATTTTTTCCATTTCCAAGAGAAACTGTGTTAACATCTGTTCAAATAAAAAATCACCAAAATCTGTTATTTATCAAGGGGTGCCTAAACTTTTGCATAAGACTGTATTTAGGTATGGAAGTCCAGTGCCCTCAAATAGAATTATTTAATTAAATTCAAATTTAATTTTTCACATGTGCATGATGCCAAAATTAAAATTGAAATTTTAAAGTCCAATTTTGTTGGGTACAGAAAAGTATTCTTAAAATATTGCTATGCTATTGCTACCCAAATGGAAACTAAAAATGAAATGAATACTGATATGTCACAGTATTGGAAGGACGTGTTCACTGCCATTAAATGTTCCAGTATGATATTTCCAAAGATCTGAGTCCTCCTTCTAGATTTGAGTCTAGCAAGTGAAATGATTTCATTTTAATATTGGCATCATTGGTCTTCCATACGGCAGGTTCCTGATTATTGAGTTTAAACGCATGCTTTTCTATAAAATATCTTCAAATTACTGGCATATCACTTTAACACATACATTGTTAATCAATAATGCCATGGACAGCTTTTATATTTTTAAAAATATTACCCACTTGGAAACAGAATTTTGAAAGAATAGCACTGAGTAGCATGCTGCATCCACGCTTCCTTAATTTGCACCATTCTAAGCCTTTGACTGTGTAAAGTTTTGGAACCATCCCGTTAGTCACTGTATTCTTCACACTTTTGTAAACAACTTTTTCACAATAAATCGGACCACACTTACAGAATGGCAAGGTAAGGCAAGAATTTCACAACTACTCCAACCTGCTCTGCAATCTCTAACTTTTCTCATATATTTCTCATTGCTAACTCTAGTACTTCTATGACGTACAGTTAACATAGTGCACTTTGGTGTTGATGGGAAATGTTTCCTCCTTGTTATATGCCACTTTTTTGATTTTACTATCATTTGATTTTGGGTACCTAATAATGTTTGTCCATCTTTACGTCGTTACTGATGACACTCTGTGTGTACTGTACGTCTCTTTATTCTGCTTTTGTGTTTGTCTTTTTCATTTCGAGTTGGTTTTTGAAGCCAAAAAAGGCTGTTTTGTTTCTGTGGTTGATAGCCTGCATGGAAATCACACATCTGGGTGTGTTTTGGGGTTCTTTGTATGGGTGCTTCATATAGTGACTTGAATAGTTTCAAGATTTTTGATTGTTATTTTTTTCTTTGACTTTTACGTTTTCTTTGTTTTCAGTTTACTTTTCTTCACCTGTGATGCTTGATGCGACTGTTGCATGCTGGGAAAACAAAGTTAAGAGGCACAGGTCAAAGTTCAAAGGAATGAAGTAGAAGCTTATGTTTGACCTCTCTCCCCCTCTATGTGTCTCTGTCTCTTTCTGGTCTGTCTTCCAGAGTGGATTCACTCCCCTGCATATCGCTGCCCACTATGGGAACGTCAACGTGGCCACACTCCTGCTGCA